AATTATAACAATGCAAAATTTACAATTAGGCAAAAAATCAAACGTAGGGTGTTAGCAGAAATGTTGTCATATATGTCATATATGTTTTAAACCTATGTCAATGTAAAGTTGTTTTTTGAGTAAATTTAAATAGCTGCTATTATAGTTATCTTAGAAGCAGTATAAAAATTCCCTCAGTTAGCATGCAAATAAAGAAATGATTAGAAATAAGCGTGCATTAAATAAAAAAAAACTGCAAATAAAAATGGAAGAAAAAAAAAAAAAAAAAAACCACGGAACTTTATGTTAAAAGAGTAGCACATTTTATCTATTATTTTTAAATTGAGTAAGCATTATTAAATTTTTTAATGGTTCAGTCTAAAATGCATAAAGCAGTAACATTGCCTCTTCCAAATTATAGCTATCTTTCACACACAGCTCATTTTAAACGCTGGTTCAAAAACGCTAATTTCCAAGCTGTGAATTATATTGGCGCGCTCAGTGTCATCATGGCTACGTCATCACTTCTCACTTTCTGTTTCAGGGGGAAAAACTCTATGAGCTAGCCCTTCTCTTCTAAGTCCTGGGAAGTAAGATGGAGTCGCCCTAAACAACTTTCTCCCGTACCCTGCTCTGAAGCACCGGCGATCCCTACGTGGTGACCAAAACATTGGGCCATTTACCATTGAGTTCAATGGGATTTGACGCGTTCGGATGTAAATATTTTGTAATTACGTCGCAAATATACATATAAATGTATATATTTTCTTTTTCTACAACAATTCAGAGTCCTAAGTGTATGAAAACAACATATTTTTAAACAACATTTCATTCTGAACGGAATTAAATGCTGTACTTTTCACGGGACAGTTTTCTCAGAATAGTTTAATTTGAATTTCGTTAATTACATTAGAAAAGAATTAAAGTAATTCGATTTTATTCGGTTAAGGTACAAAAATTAAGAACAAAGTTTATTGTATTATTAATATTAAAATTATGCATTATTTCTTTTTTATTTATACAGCTTCTTCCTAAAATACTTTCTTAAATATGACATGATTTTTTGGCTTCTGAGGCATCTTTTAAATCGAAAAATGTAAGTCAGTTTATAATTAATGATCTATTCGGTTCATTTTAAATTAGAGAATTATTAGGAATTAGCGAAATACTTTAGATAGTACTTGACTTTCTCTGAACATTTCTGAAAGGGAATAAAATAAGTTTTTTTTTTTTTTTTTTTTTTTGAAAGTATTATTTAAAACTTGTAACTGAGTTATTTTAACTATTATAAAATGTAAAGGGGAATAATCTTTTAATTATACTTATCAGATTTTTTTTTACCCTTCATTTCAACAATACATAATCCAAAACTCTTTATTACGTTCTTAAGTGCGCATCTCATAGCATTTGCTTTACAATACCTTTTAACAGATTGCTTTCCAATACGAACAATTCTTGCTTAAATAGTTTTATAACGTATTTGTCAACAGGATTTCAATTTATGTTTACAATTCAATATTAAGTTTATTATATATTTAGATAACATTTATAATTATTATAAATTAGATACATTTAATAATTAGATTTCTTCACAGTACTTTCACAGTTGTTTATAAGTGAATAAATTCTTCATTTCAAATACATTTATAAATAATTTAATGAATATTTATGTATTTTGTCAAAGGCAGATACATGGTTTTTGCAATAATATGCAACAATATATGGATGTGAAAAAATTTGTTTTATTAAAAACATTTTGGCGTTTGGAAAATAAAATAAAAGCAGCGAATACTCTATCAAGGGTATCGAAAGAGGTATACAATTTTAAATGTACCGTAAGGTATTTTTCATTCTTTAAGCATAACATTTTTCTTAAAATCTATATTTTTGTAGTTCAACAGCTTAGATTTTTATAAAACAAATTCATAATCAAAATCGCTGTTGTTAGTTATCGAACAATAACCAAGATGTGATTTTTTGCGTAAATGTCATAAACTATACAAATTGCTATTATCCATCACACTATAAATGTTTCTTTCATGCGAAGGCCTTTTCGTTGGGACTGTCGTTGTAAATATCAGAATTGCAAGCGAGCTTTGTGAAAATCGTGACACGCTTCATTTTAAACCTCTTCCCTCCAGTCGAACTCGTAGGGTTGCCAGAGGTTACTTGATGCGCGATGCTGTTTGTCACGTGGTCGGAAGTTGCGTTTGTTTCGAAATAACCAATGAAAGAGCTACCAGATGTGCAGGTTGACTCCTCGTAACCATTCTTTAGGGTTGCAGTTCACGTTTGGTGTGCCATCTTTGGCTTTTCAGCGCTATTGTTTCAAAGTTTTATCTATGAAAATTCTTCAAAGGTATTATTTTATTTTAATTCCTTTATGAAAACAGCTAACCTAAAAGACACATTCCATTCACATAAATCATATACATGTGAAAAATATAGGTCAAGTAAGTTTTGCATACTAAAAAAAAAAAGTGATTCAAAAGACCTTTTAAAGCAAAAGAAAAGAAAAATGTACCTAGTTCTATTAACAACTCAAAAAATACAATGTAATATATTCTAAAAGGAAAATTATATAATACACAATGATGTAGATTACATATATTTAATAAATACATAAAACTCTATAATGACTCTAATGTTCATAACTATATAATAAACGCCAACACATATCACATCATGGTACATAACACTGCTATGAAAGGAAGAATTTTTAATTAGAAACATACCTTTTATATTTATTTGATAACATAGACGAATAAAATATAAAGATGACAAGAAGTTATGAAAACACGTTATGCAACTTAAGAAACAGTAAGAAGCCTTTTAAGTTATTGCAATATCATAAGGCACTGATTAGGAAGTAAATATCATTTTTTCATTCTTTTACATCAGTAATACTTTTTTCATTAAAAACTTTAGCAGTGAAAGCCAAAACAGATTTATCATTGGCGCCTCTGATGCAAGGTCACACAAAAATAAACTTGATTTAGCAAATTTCTAAAACATTAAAATCAAAAATAGTAAATTACAGTAACATATATTATTAAATTATTTTAATTACACATAAAAAATTGTCTGAATTAAATTAAGAATCACTGACTAAGCTTGTACAGCATTTTAAAACATATTTTATGTTGATACATTGGAAATAAATTGACAGCAATCGCAGTTAAATGAAAGAGCTGGAAATACAGTCTACATGATGTATAAATACAGTCAAAATTATTCGTTAAATACCTAAATTGATGCTTACCTTCTTCAAAATGAATATAAATACGATATATTAATGTTACTTTAAGGGAAACATTATATAATGCATAATTTCAATCATATTATCCAATGTTTACATTTTTTTTTTTTTTTTTTACATTGGAGGCCGACTGACAGATTTGGCGACAATATAATAAGGTCAAAAAATAACATACGATTTTTTAAACCATGAATCCCGCATTAAAATTTAAATAAAAAGTGCACTTCATAGTTATAATCACGCACAAAATTGAAATCAAATGTATAATATAATTATTTAAACTTTGTCCTTTCGCGATAATAACAATAAAGAAAATCACATCAGCATCTACTTATCGCCGTCGGTATCTGTGTATTGACTATACACATTCTGATATTCATTTTGTACATATAAATCAGTTTGTCATTAATTAGCAATACTTAAATGATAATACACATTTCGCTGAAACATGAACACTTATTTTTTTAACAATTATGAAAACATACGAAGCTGAACTTACTTCAAAAGCGCACGGTCTTGCGATCGGAATCTATTCCAATGGACAAGAATTAATTACCCATTTTCTTCGTATTTCTTCATTTCTCGGGAAATAGAACATACTAAAGTTATTTCTGGAACGATATGAATAATTTGATGCAGTGCATCCACGCATATTTCTCTGAATTAGGTAGCAATCCATCAACACAAATGTAAACAACACAACGCTAAATCAATGTCCACTAGCAACAAGTGCACTTAATTTGGATACAACACAGATGATGTGTCGGCTGCCCTTGCTAGGATCCTTATACACCCTATACTTTGATATAAGTTGATGCTCACTCAGCAGATCTAAAGCATTTTCTTTAGCACACTTGATTTCTGTCCTCGTGAAAGCACAAACAACACAGCCGCCATATTGATTCGATCGTTTTTCGCCGCGGAATGATGGGTTCCAAGTGATCGCTATGAGAACGAGCAATCGCGAGCTCAGAGTGATCGTTGCGTTTCAATTGAATACCAAAACAGCAAAATCAATCGCAACTGATGACGTATGACGACGAAAGATCACTAAATGTTTCAATTGAATGAGGCCTTAAGACTGGTCATGGAAAAGCAAGTGAAAAATAATTTCACCTTCAATTGGATCATTGAAAATTTCAGCATGTGTCATCAGTCATACGGACACTATCTTCATAGCCCCGAATTTGCTTTCAGTTTGTTACCCCGTATGAAGTGGCGTATTCAGTTATATCCGAGAAGAGATCGTGACGAGTACATAGGTGTATTTATCAAAAGAATTGACGATATTCCAGAAACCTGCAAAATAACTTTAACGATGCAAGTCCTAGATTGCAAAGAGAAGTCGATTTTTTATCATCGGCAATATAGTAAAATATTTGAAGCCCAGTCTACTTGGGGTGACTCAGAGTTCTTTAAGAGGAATTCTTTTTTTATGTTGGATATAAATGATGCCTTAATTATGAAATTTACTTTAAAGCCAGTGTTTAAGGCAGGTGATAAACAAATACTGCCTCCAGTTCCTTACGAAAACGGACTGTTTGCTGATGTCGTGTTACGGGCACGTAATGCAAAATTTAAAGTACATAAAGCTGTTTTAGGGGCGAGATGGCCTAAACTTGTAGAAAAACTGGATATAGAACAGACCTGCGAACAAATTTTCGATATTGAATCGGACGTATTGGAAGCCTTACTCAAATATGTTTATACAGGCAAAATAGACTGCTCTAAATCAGATTTGTTAACGAAAATCTATATTGCTGCCGAAAAATACGAACTATCCACTTTGCATAATTTGCAGTGTTTACCTGTTATGGCACAAAAGGCGCGAACTCACGTTAATGCAAAAATAATATCATTCGAATGGCTTATAAAGGATTTATGGAGCTTGCATATAAATACAGTGTTGCGTAGTCACGTATTCAGTGTTGATATTTTGAATGGAACTCTTAAATGGAACTTAAAACTTGACATTTGTGAAGATACAGTACACGGGAGGATGTTTGATATTTTCCTGTGCAAAATATGCGATCCTGAAACTAAGCCGATTTTCGTGAAATGGAAAATATCGTTGGATAAGACTAATTCTTCTGAAGAGGAACATTTGTTCGAAACAGCAAAACTGGAAATATGTACATTTTTTTACGTGAATTTTCTGGACATTATAACGACGCTTTGCAACTTAAGTTCGAATTTAAGTTTTCTGATTGCAGCAATTTTTTTGAAGTATTGGAATCTTCTTACGCCTCCGTAGATGCAATTGAATGCCATTCTATTAACGATGACTTTTTAGATCTTTACAAAACTAGTATGTTATCGGACGTTAATATTATCATTGGCTCCAGAACATCACCAGCGCATAAATGTGTTTTGTGCGCCCGATCTTCGGTATTTTGCAGAATGTTCGAAACTGGTATGATCGAATTGAAAAGAAATGACGTTGAGATATCAGATATTGACCCTCAGGTAATGGATGAATTTCTGTTGTTTATGTACACCGGCTATTTGGAGAGATCATTGGATGAAACAGCTGAGGAACTCTACGCGATAGCTGATAAATATGATGTTCCTGCATTGCAGAAAAAATGTTCGTCTTTTCTGAAATCGAATCTCAATGCGAGAAATGTGTGCAGAATTCTGGAGTTAGCCTGTATTCATTCCGATGATGACTTATACAAAAATGTGTTAGAGTTTTCATGTGAACATGCAGAAGAAATTTTTTCTACTGATGAATGGAAAGATGTCGCGAAAGAGAATTGCCGTATAAAGCTTCTGCAGGATATGGTACGTCAGAAAAAAACTTAGAAAGTGATTTATATGCAACTACAGTTCTGTATTAATTTGCCAATCATGAAAATATTCCGTAAAAGTTTTTTCATCTCCTTTGGTAAGTAATAAGATACATTGTAGAAATTTAAGAATACTGTTGTCATTTTTATGTATAACATATTAATCTTTGGTATGTTATGAGAATTCAAATATGTAAGAAATTCATATTTTTTTACTCTTACTTTATATTCTGTAACCAAATCAACATATTTTTGTTATTGTGCTTTGCTGTAGAATTTTGATGTTCTCTTAATGTATGGTCTAATTTGTTTTCATAATTTAGAAGATTCTTTGAGGATAATACAAAATACCTGAAGAATACATTAAAGGTTGTTTTTTTATTACTTTATTCCTACAATATAATTGTTTTTTTGTATTATAGTAGCTTACAGCAGTAATTCAGAGCACTTCTTTTGTTTATATCAGTATTTTGTTTTATGTCCGTGTGCGATGTTCTGGTGAGTCACGTTTTTAAGTACTTACACACAAACTATCTCTCGGAACGACTGGAATCATTAAACTGATTTAGTTTGAGAACCCGCCTTCACAGGCAGTACTATGCTATTGAGTTCGAAAATTATGCTTAATATTTACTTAAAAATACCTTTGGTGACTGTGTAGGCTATTGAGTTCGAAAATTATGCTTAATATTTACTTAACAACTTCTTTGAAGACTGTGTATGGTAAAATCTTATGGCGTTCCCAAGTAATTTTTGAGATGAAAATATTGTAAAGACACAAATGTCTCCAGACGGAAGTATGTGAATTATTATGCCTCCCTTATTTATTAACAGCTACTGAAGGAATGTTTTTAAAATTAGAAATAAACTACAAACTTCTTTTCACAAAGGAAAAATTCAAACGTTGAGCAGCCAAAGATTTTACTTTTCCGCAGTAGTTACTTAATTTAGCAGATTTACTTAGAATAATGATAAATACTTCTACTACATGAAGTCAAGTAAGTCAATGATAAATACACGAATTCAAGAAAATGCGTCAAGAATGAAAACAAGAAAAAGGCAAGTATGAAGTAAGTATGAAGTCAAGAAAATGCATTTAGAATGTTTTTCAGCTTAATGAAAGTAACGGTATTCATATGAGCATGTACAAATTCTTCAAAATTGAAGAAATTTTGAAATTATATTGTGTATAAATTTACAAGACCAAGAAATAATAAACGATGCCTATTGTGAAAATGTTTTGACAGGAACTGTTCAATATTGATTATTCTGCTATTACCTACAAAAATATACGTATATAGAATTTCCTGAAACTCTTGATCGGGCGTCTCTTATACAGAATTTACAATTCTAGCAAAGTTTTTAGTAACAGCGAAGAACAAATGTTCCCTTTCTTTGTTTATTGAAATTAATTGCACAAAGAAAGTGTATTTCATATGGTTAGAAAAATTTGCCTTAGTCCAAATGAATAGTTGATGGTAGTTTGTTTTTTTTATCGGATCCCTTGCTTACGTTTATAGGCGGACGTTTTGTTGTTCGACTTTAAAAAAAAAAAAAAAAAAAAAAAAAAAAAAAAAAACAGCAATTCTATTCTCCGTCTCATTTTTTCCGGTCTACCCCCCCCAAAAAAAATGCTGAGGTTTTAAGGACACTGGTCACATTGTCGAAGATTCACACTTAATGTTTTACTCCACAGACCTTAATTATTGTCTAGACAGCAATTCTTTTATGGATACCGTGCTTCTAACCATTGTGAACGAACTCGCTGCATACTACCAGTGTTTCACCGGCATTAGCAACTCGGTCATTGCTACGCTCCATATGCAGATGACTCTAATTATGTAAGTAATATAAGTAATACCCAGATTTTTTATATGTGCTTGTGGTTTTAAAGCTCAAAGAAGTGTGCTATGTTCACCTATATATTTATATACTATTATCAGCGCAAAATATAATTCGAGAGTTCTCAGAGAGCTGAACTAATCCGCTCTTTTAGAATTTTTAATTTGTAAATTGGCAGATGTAAAAGCAATGTGTTTACCCTGCACGAAGAAAAAGACGTATCCTTTAGCGCCGTCAATCAGAGTTCTTCATTCAACAATTCATAAGAATTTCAATTTATTTTTTAAATAGAATCATACAATCGTTAATTGGTATATTGAATGATTTAAAGGCAATAAACGTTCTTCTTTTTAAAACGTACATGAATAACGCACGTAACAGGAACGGTAATAAACGCAAGTAACGATTCGATTTTTAAATGTTATCAAATTCGTATATGTTCCATTTAGATAACAATGAAAATTTTTGTATAAGATGAAAACCCGCCCTATAATAAACTACTAGGTGCAACAGCTGCTTCATTTCATAGAAAATATTGTTAATTAAATAACCTGGGATTGGCAAGAAGTCACCAAATGTGTAGCAAATTGGAGGAACCTAACACCCGCGAGGAGTTTGGTGCCAATGGGTAACTTGAACAACAGGGAGGAGGAAAAACTGTAAACATTGTTCTAGCTTTGTACGCATTCTCAGGTTAGATTGTCATGAGGTGTAGTAGCTAGCATCCTATCCGTTTTAAACCTATAAATGCATTTTCTATATTTCAGTTTTGTGTTTTCTGTATTTTATTTATATTCAGTAGTTTGTTCTAAGTATTTCAGCTCTGTGGCGGATTGTGAAATCTTTTAGGAATGCTTATACATATCTTTTGAATACATGTTAATTATTTGACATTAAGAAAGAACTCAAGGCAAAACATGGGCTATCAGTATATCCTCAACATGAAAACGAGTTTACGCTGAGGTTTTCAATGTGAATTTATCGTCTTGTTGCCTCTATCTCGTCATTATGCACAACGGAGTCTACTTTTAACAACACCTGTCTGACCTTTCATGAAGGTATACTTAATCTATCACTCAGCTTTTGTGCGATTCGATTTCCCAACACAAAAGAAACGAAACTTCTCTATAAATTTCGCAATACTCTGCAATCGTATTTCTAACAGTTTTTTATCACAAATAGTTTCGCTTCCCCGATACGAAACACTTCAAGTACAAAAGTCATGATAAAAGCTGGATAGAAACGCCCATTTTTCTGCAGGTGTGTGTACGTTCGGTTTGAAGTAAACGTAAAATTTTTTTATTCGTATAACCTCGTAAATAATCGAGCTAGCCATTTGTATCAGGGTTAAATAGATTTGTCCCTGCAGCCTTTTCCCTGCACAGCTTCGTTTTTTCAAGCATTTCACATTGCATTATACAAAAGATACTACAATTTCACACGTAAGTTTACTAAATTATGCGCACATATACAAAATTCGTAACATTACCCCTTTCCCGAGGACTTCATGTCCCGGATAGTGCAATCCCTGGACAGAAAGTCCTACTTATAACTAAGGAAAAACAATGCAATGCTAAAATAATAACTTAAATAAATAATATACAACAAATGAAATACTAAATCAATAAATAAACGAATGCATTTACAAATTTATATACATATAGTACTACGGTGTTCGTATACTATTTACATTACATACACTATAGGGACTACATACTATGGCCTATGGCCTACTGTGCATGTCGTAATGAGCGACTTAGAATTTGATGACTTATGGATCCGAACTACAACGTCGTTCATCCTGTTTAGGACTGTGTAAGAAGTGTTTCAGGATGACTGTAGTTTACGAAAACATCCTTTCCGTCGAATCGGATTCCCTAACCACATCTTACCACCTTTGTTGAATGGATGTCCTGTAGCTCTCATGTTGTATCGAGTCTTCATCTTCTCCATCTTCATGTTGAATCGCTCTTCGCAAAATTATGCATCACTTCAAACCGTGCATGAACATCTTGAAATGTACTATTCAGGCGATGAAAGCGCATCCGGAGGGCGATCAAACAAGAGATTACAAGGCAGACGAAGATCACGACCGCAGAGCATCTGGGATGTGGAATAGTCGGTTGTCTCGTAGACAGCACACCGAAAGCGTTTCGACGCATTATTTTTATAATGAAAACGTTCATTTTTCTTGCTTTGCACGTGACGCTGTCATTTCGTCTGTTACTTATTTAAAATTTTCACATTTTTCTATGTCTTAAAATTAGAAATTAAAGTTAATGACCTAAAACTATTGCAGTACAATTGAAAAAATTGACAGTTTCACTCACGCGTGTGTCGGATTTGCGCAATACTTATGGGGCCCCACAAAATTTTTGTAAATATTATAGGGTTCTCGGGGTCTCGAAAAAATCTCTGGTAAAAAGGGGTCGCGACTGAAAGAAGTTTAAGAAACCCTGGTCTATAAGAGCTATAAGAGAAAGTTATAATAGTCTTATCTGTAGGCTTAAGACAAGATTTTTATGGAAAGCTTTCCATCAATGTTGAGAAATAAAGAAGATATCATTTATGTGCTCGACAATTATCAAAATAATGAAGTAGCTGGAACTTCTTCAGTGGAATAAATAAAATATGAGAAAAAATTGTTGTCATTTTCTGATTAATTCAGCTGTTGCGATCTTTAATTTCTATTATCGCTTATAAATACAGTTCTTCCGTCACCTCTTGAATTACTGGAACAATATTGGGGACGATGTTCGCGGTTGACTCAGAATCTGGAAGGTTTAAAAAAAATCACGAAGAAGAATAACCTGTACTATTATAACAAAAAAGCATTATTAAAAGTTTGCCAGATTTCGGAGAACTTAAGTTTGAAGAATAAGTTGATTTGGTTACGAAAATTAAATCAGTATTGAAAACGAAAAGAAACCATTGTAAGAAAGAAATGAAGAACAATAAACATAAAATCAATAAATTTATAAATAGCATTAAATGTTTATGAAGTAAACCTTAACGGTGCCATTTAGTTCAAACTCGCTTAAAACACTTTTTGACTGTATAGTGTTTATATATTTCAGATTACTTATAATGAAATTAGGTAGTGTTGTGGATAATGCAAGTAAAGTACTTAACTTCTGGTTATCCCACGCGTAGCTTAATGGCCGATTATTTGCGATAGTACTTTCTCCTTGTTCAGCAATTTACCTGGAGGCTCTTTTAATCCACCTTCAGTTAATCAATTTGTTGGCTTGTATTTCGGTTTTGGTGCTTCATTTAAATTCTGTACTTTTATGGTTTATGAATAACCGACAGCTATTCTTGCCGCCATCACAACGCAGAACTGATTTTGCGGAAGTGACGTAAAGTGAAAAGATTTCCTTTATCGCTCTAAAGCTGCTAGAAAGGTCGCAAGACAGATACGTCGTATCTCAGGAGAAGGTAACAAACATATCGGAGTGTTAACGTGATGGAAAAGCAAGCGGAAAGTAAATTCACATTTACTTGGATTATCGAAAATTTTAGCATGTGTCACCAGTCATACAAAGAATATATTTATAGCGAGTTCACTTCAGATTATTTACCCCGTATAAAGTGGAAAATTAAAATATATCCGAGAGGAAGAAGTTATGAAAACGACATAAGTTTGTTTCTCAGAAGAACTGATGATATTCCAGATACCTATAACGTAACTTTCACTATGCAAATCCTAGATTGCAGAGAGAAGTCGATTTTAGGTCCTTTGCAATTTAGTAAGATATTTGAAGCCCACTCTGCTTGGTGTTACCCATCGTGTATTGAAAGGGATTCTCTTTTTGAGTTACTTATAAATGATGTTTTAATTGTGAAATTTTCTTTAAAGCCAGTGTCTGAGGCAAGTGATGAACAAATACTTCCTCCACTTCCTTACAAAAATGGACTATTTGCGGATGTCGTGTTAGGCGCAAGTAGTGAAGAATTCAAAGTGCATAAAGCTGTTTTATGGGCGAGGTGGCAGAGACTTGTAGAAAAAATGGATGCAGAACAGACTCGCGAGCAAATTTTCGATATCGGATCGGACGTACTGGAAGCCATACTCAAATATGTTTACACCGGAAAATTAGATAGCATTAAACCTGATTTGTTAACGAAACTCGATGCTGCTGCAAAGACATATGAACTCTCCAATTTGAAATGTTTACCTGTTGTTGCACAGACTGCACGAACCATTGTTAGCGTCAAGAAGATATCATTTGAATGGCCAATAAACAATTTTTCGAGTTTGCTTAGTAATGCAGTTTTACGTAACTGCGCATTCACTGTCAATTTTTTTAAATCTTGTGTTTGGAACTTCACCCTCCATATGCGTGAAGATGCAGTGCATGGTAGAAAGTTTGATATTTCCCTTTCGAAAACGTACAAACCCAAAGCCAAGGGGATTTTCGTTAAAAGCAAGATATCATTCGATGATAGTAATAGTTCTGAAGATGAACATTTGTTCGAAACGAACGAAAACTGGATTGTGCCAAGTACACGGATCTTCGTTAAAAGCAAGGTATCTTTCGATGATAATAATACTTCTGAAGACGAACATATGTTCGAAACGGACGAAAACTGGATTTGTGCCAAGTTTTCACGGACTGTTTCTGTAGATCCCGAGGACACGTTACTACTTAAATTCGAATTAATGTTTTCTGACTGCCAATATTTTTCAGAAATTATGGATGTTTCTTACGCTTGCGCATCTTCTGTTAATTGCTATTCTTTTAACAACGATTTTAGAAAGCTCTACGAAAATCGTACGTTATCGGACGTTAATATTATCGTCGGTTCCAAAACGTTCCCGGCACATAAATGTGTTTTATGCGCCCGATCTTCGGTGTTTGCCAAAATGTTCGAAACCGATATGATCGAATCAGAAACAAATAAGGTTGAAATTTCAGATATTGAACCTCAAGTAATGGATGAATTCCTCCAGTTTACGTATACCGGCAATTTGAAAAACTCTTTGAATGAAACAGCCGAGCAACTCTACGCGGTAGCTGATAAGTACGATGTTCCTGCTCTGAAGAAAAAGTGCTCATCTTTTCTGAAATCTAACCTTAGCGTTGAAAATGTGTTTAGAACTCTACAGATAGCCAATATGCATTCGGATGATGATTTATATAAAAGTGTGTTTGAGTTTACAAGTGCGCATGGAGAGGAAATTTTCATGACTCATGAATGGAAAGATATCGCGAAGAACAACTTCCATGTGAAGCTTCTTTACGATACAATAGTTCAGAAAAAACTTTCAGTGTAATTGATATGCCACCAGACTTCTTTACTAATTTTCTGATATTGAAACTTATTTAGAAAAAATGTCTAATTTTCGTCTGCTTTGGTAAGTAAGAAAAAAACATCGTAAAAAGTTAATAACATTTTACAATTTTTTGTGTAGGATCTCTGTGGATTGCTTTTTTCATTATTCTTACATTGTGAAAATGCAGATTTATACGAATTTCACATTTTTTACTATATATTTTATATTTATCACATTTTTTACTAAATTAAGAAATCTTTTCTGTAGCCTTCGTGATGCTGTCTTCATTAATGCTTTTATTGTGTTTCTTAATTTAGAGCCTTGTTTGAGTGATAGTTTTTACTAAAAAGAATAAATTATAATTTTTCTTTAATACAATGATGTAACTTAAGTAATTGTCTTTTCCATTATAGAAGCTTATAGGTGTAATTCAATGCACGGTTTTTATTTATATCAGTATTTTTGGTAAAAGTTTACAATTGGGTGCCCCTTGTTTCTTGCCGCCAGATCGGCGCCAGGACGTATAATTTCACGATGGAGTCCACAACCCCAATAGAATCAAAGACTTGCCACACTCGTGTCCTTCGCTTGGTTTCCTTCACCACCCCCCCCTCTAGAATGCTACAAACTAGGCTGCGCACGCCTTAATTTGCAGTACAATCAATTATTTCTGAAAAACATCAGGCAGCTACTCAACCCAGTAAAACTCTCATGGTCACCAGACTGAGGTTTCCGCGCCAAAATAAACAAAAAACAAACTGCGTAATCGAAGGGGCCCCACTCACCTAGGCGGTATTTTACTTTTCTTCATATTTTGATTTATACCAGATTTCATAATCAGTCATGGGAAAGTTTTGATCTAGATGCTTGTTACGGCGTCAGTTTAGTCCTATTTCGAAGTCAAACACATTGGGTGATTTTGCCCGCAGTCCTCCTAAGTTAAGTATCCTACCCTGTATCTCTCAATGAGGGAATCGCCGTGTTGCGTTTCGACCGCCTTCGCAGTCCCGTTTATGTCCCGGTTCAAAACACAAAAAAAAAAAAAAAAAAAAAATTAACATTTTCTGTAAAATATATATTTCTTACTGATATGCCGTTCAACCGGGATAGTGGTTAGTTACTTTGATTGCCGTACCGAAGGTCAAAGGTTCGAATCCCGGAGAAGGCTTGGATATTTGTAAATATGTCTGTGCAGCAGGGGGCACTCTAAATATTGAGATGAGCCAAAAGTCCTGTCAAGAGGTTGGTAGATAGGAAAGAGGGGTGGGAGACCCTCGAACCCGTCTCCCCGTAGTGCTCTCTTTCAAGTCTAGGAGCAGAATTGAGCCTAAGTCGAGCTGCTCAAGGCTCTAAATAACGATATGACGCCTTGCGAGGATGAATGGTGTGGGCGTGTGCTCACAGTTATCAGACAAGTAAATTGTTAACAACAACAACTGATATTTTCTTGTAGTGCAATGCATCGTTTGGTGCATAGCTGTCGAGGTGTCTCCTATTAGTACATTCGTAATAGTTCTAGTATATTTTATCAATTTTCATCGTTTTATTATGTTTACCATTATATCTAACACGTTCTTTTCCTTTTGATTAATAACAAGAAATGTAATATTAAAAAATTAGCATACAAATTGATAATTCAGAGCTTAATAACAATAAAGGTAACATCACAGCGTTATACATATAAATTTATAATTCACCTTCAGTATGGTACGAGATGAGTTGACAAGCTAAGTCAATGCTAACTGCACTGTAAAATCTCTCAATTAAGGCATACTTCTCTTTTTTTAACCTCACCCTGCGAAAAGCGTTAAATTTTAATTTAAATTATAAAGTTAAATGTCGCCTTCATTTTTCATTTCATCTTTTAATTGTAAATTTTGTTTTCTAATTGTAGAAGATAAAATTATCATGAAATATCTATATTCAAGTCATAACGTGATACAACTACCAGCAACCGAAGAAATGAATTAAGACGAAACTGTTCACTTTTTAGACAATGAAAAAAGTATATTCAAGGGCAAGAGTAGATTTAGATATGAGTAAGTTGTGTAAAAAGACATTGGGGCATTTCTAGATAAAATGGTATTTGTTCATCTCACGTGTAGTTAATAACCAGAACCGCTTCGGAAGGAATAAATTTTCCAGAATTTTTATCAAAAAGTGTAGCCCTATCAAAATCTGGAATATACAAATTAGATTGTTTTACGTTTTAATGCTATTTGTTTTGAATTTTATAAATTTTATTACAGTTAGTAGCTACTGAAGATCGGCGGAGCACGTCTTCCCTTTACAGACAATAGAAAAAGGTAAAAAATTCAGTGTTTTAGAATGAAGCTTTTTTAGATGAAAATATTGCAAGCAAATAAATGTTTCTTGATAGAATGATATTAATAAAGCTATATTCTGTTTTCTTTATTCAACAACAGCAAGTCCTATAATAATTTTAGCAGCGACAATTAATAAGAATAAAATGAGAAATCAACTACAAAATCCTTCTGACAGCTGAGAAACTGAAACGTTGATCAGCCAAATATTTTACTTTTCCAAAAATCTATTCAACATATCTATTAAGAATATACCCTTTCTCAATTCAGAAAATCTGCATGAATAATAATAAATTATATTTATAAAAAAGAATAAAATAAATATTTCTAGTATTTTCTTTGTGCATAAGAAAATATGTAATTAATATACTTAAATAAATGAAACATATATACATAAATTAAATGTCTGCATGTAAATTAAAAATTAAATTACTTAAAAGTATCAGCTTCCTAGACATTTACAGTGAGTTGAATTTTGAATTTTATCATCCAATATTTCTTGTATAAATGTTAATTTATTGGCTTTACGTTGAATTAATTAATGATAATAACATCTTAAAATGGCACAGAAGAATAAGACAAAAGTCAAGAAAAAATGTAGTTTCCTTTTAGCCCAAAGGAGCGTTAGATCCAAAGGGCTATTAGACTCAAACGGCGTAGTTTCACTTTCTGCGTTGATTCACTTTTGAGACCGCTGCCACCAAATATTATCATCATGCATTAGATTTAAAGAAACTAAATAATGAAGACTCTGCATGAATGCATGAGCGTTTCTCACAGTATGAAAAAAACGGTACCTAGAGGCAAGTTTTTAATAACGTGTACCGAACCAACCGAGTATGGGCACTTGAAAGCCCGAATTTCGAATTTATTTTATTATCTATTTCAAATTTTGTCAAACTTTCAAGAATTTTTGATTAACAAACTCAACGATTTCAAAACGAGCAATGGCAACACTATACCGAAAAAAAATTTCCAGCAGAGGCGAGACTGTGTATCCGAAATTCTAAAAGTATGCTGTTTTTAAATATTTTGGGATATTGGTGTTGAATTGAATTTTATGTGGTTTTAGTGCGAATAACATGATATTTAATAAATAAAGGTAACACAAAAAACGTTAAAAAAACGCCCATTTGGGCATAATGTAAATTCTGAAATTTTTTAGATTTTTTTTTAATTAATGATTTATTTTTTAAGATGTAGTACCTTTTTCTTGCATAAGTTAGTACGAAATATTTTTGATAACTTTACCAGAAATTGAAGCTTCTTATTTGTTTAACACAGCAGTAAACGATCAATATAATAAATTCGATATCGAAGATTGTTTCTCGTAATTCCGTATTAGTTACTCTTATATATTAATTATGCAATTTTATCCATAATTGTACTTTTACTGAATTTATTAAAAATTCCGTCACCAATTTCATTCCAGTTTTATAAGTTTACATTCAATTAATTCTGAGATTTTATTCATAATATTACGTTTAGTGAATATCATGCTAACTCGTCTATCTTTGGTGATGGTTCGGTAAAACCATCGAAACTAGTCCTGTGAAAATTTTGTAAATTAACGTTGATTTTTGTTGTTTGACTTCTGAATTAGTCGTCTATCTTTCTTATTCTTCAGAATATTCTTAATTTTGTTTTTTAAAACTGTACTTTGATTTTTAGCCTTGTCAAGCCCCAATTTTAATGTGACGTCAGTGATGCATAAATTAGCGTTTTTTTTTTTTTCCAACTATCGTTAAATCTTAAATTTAGGAAAAAAAAAAATTACCTGTTCACTGATATGATACATAATTCCCAATGCTGTCAGAGGGAGGTACAAAAAGGATGAATAATGTGAGTAGAACAATATTTTGTTTACCTTTAAAAAGACACCCTTCCCCCCAAAAAAGATATTAAATATGTAAAATACAAAATATAAAAACATGTTTTTTACCATGTAGTGAATGTGCGGCATCAGAAACAACTTTTGATTAATTAAACAAACTACGAGTGTTGATAAAAGATTATTTGTTTGGAATACCGTGGAGCAGCGTTTAAAAAGATATATTTCAAGATATAAAGACCGGTGTTTATATCTATGAAACACTTATATAAATGTTTCTATCTTATATAAATGAGAAAGGCGTGTAAACGAAATTTTAATTTACGGTGTGAAACATATATACTGTATTAGCTGCGTAATTTTATAACCTACTTCTGATATTACACGATTTTATTATTCTACTTTCAGTTTCTTTAAAATGTTCAAATAATTTTGAAATTAATATTTTAAATAAATATGTAATTACTGTGATTTTTCTACCTTTTTTTTCAATTAATATTTTAAAAATGAAATTCATGCAAAGTAAATATTTTTTAAATCATAAGAATGCAAGTTTCCGTACGTAGTTACAGGGGATTAAAAAAAAAAAAAACTGTCATTTCCTTTATTCGAATTGCCATCTTATATAGAAAACATGTTTTTTCTTCCCAAGAACCTTTTAAAGTAAATTTTAACATTTTTTATAGAAAAAGAAACTGGCAAACGTTGAAAGAAATTAGCAGTTTCATCAACGTTAAATATGTCTTTTAATTCCTGTGGAATCTAATTTTGGTGCATAAATTTTTGAACCACTCTCCAACACACTCAGCAAGAACGCATTTCGATTCTCTCTTTATTATAAAATGAGATTCCATGCCGCAACTTAAATTTATGCAACCATCAGATTGAAAAGTAAGCGTCCTTCGTATTCAGTCGAAGTACTGATACTATTGATTTCTCTGTAAAACATAGGCCATTCGCTGGAATATTGGATGCGCGAGACTGAATGGAAAATTTTAGCAAAATGGCTTCAACTGTAGGAAACTTTCCATCTTTTAAATGAAATGCAAACGGTGCTGCACTGTATTTTAAATTAAATGTACTTTAATTTATACCAAACACTGTTAAAGAAAGTAAAATAAAGATCTAAATTATTAAGAAGTGCGTTTATTGCTTTTAAAACACAAACCACTATGTATGTTAGTAAGTAGCAGACTGATTTAGTTCGATATATAAAGATCTTACGCCCAACCTAGACTGCCCAACCTCCGAGAACTGCCAGTGTGCGAGGGCATGTAGTAGCACAATTTCTCGAGGCTACAGATACTTTCTGTTTTTATTCTCCATCAGTTTCTGAGGCATGATCGAGTCCAAGAAATTTTATTCTGCCAGGGTGTAATTTCAGATAATCGTAAACGAAAATGTTGTGACTTACGGCTAATTGAGGGTAAATTAGCAGAGTTTGGATTTGTCGGGCCCTATTAAAAGAAATTAATTGGTTTATTGCGTAACGATGGAAAAACACAAATCATCAGCATAAAACAAAAGTGTCTACGGGAAATGCAAAAAGAAAGAGAAAATGCGTCGGATAACAACAATTTTGACATATATTATAATATTTCGTGTTGTTTTTATCCTCCACAATAATTATTATTTAATTTTACATAATCTGAAATGTATAAATATTATACATATAAAAAAACAAAGTTCTAACCCATCTTTTTATGTGAGCTTAAATTCAGTGTTATTATTCCAAGTTCTTTTGAAAATTTTGCTCGTTAATGCCATTTATAATTTCGCTTGTAAATTTCTAATGATGTTTATTTTTCTATTATTTAAAATTTTATAACTGTCAGTTTTGAAATATGAAAATCCTGGATGTTCACGAATGAAAACCGAAGTTTTCGTCACGGAACTCATCGTTGGGCGATGATGTCGTTCCAAAAAAAATTCCAAACTGATTTAAATTCAATTTATAATGTCAAATATATTAACATTTAATAAGATATTTTAGATTTTAGTAATTTCCTTACACCTTTTATACAGAGGAAAGCCTGAGTTGGGGAAGGTAATGTCATTTTTTAAAGTACTTTTAAATACGATGAAAGTAACATCAATAATTTAATGAACGTACTATTCTGTGGATAAACTTAGTAACATATCATATATTGACATAAAACCGAATTAAATACAAATATTAACCTATTAAACATTAATTGAAATCTTCATAAAAGATTTCTAGTGGTGTCTGGAATATACACGTACACATTAAAGCGTAGTATGTGGGATTGAGATATAGCGCGATTAATACTGCAGAAAAAGGCAAATTACAACCACATGTGCTGATGAATGCCGGCGTTGACCGCTGTCGTTTAACCCTACGGATAAGTTTTCAGTTTTGATGGAACCAAAACTCTTTCTCCCGATGTCGATGTCACTTCCGGATTTTCTGTTGCGCCGTGTTAGAAATATTTTCAAACTACTTGACGAGCATCATTCTTAGTTGCGAGCATATAGATTTTCTTTTATATATTCCTTAAAAATATCTTCGATTTTAAGACACATTCCTTAACTTTCACCTTGCCAACAGAGAAAAAATACGTGACATGGAAAATAAAATGTTATTTCTTACAAAAGAAAAATATCTCGCGAGCATTTTTTCAGTAATTGTCTTTAATAACAAGAACACAGTTGTTATTTAAATTTCTAATTGGAAAATTTTATTATTTCAGAATAATTAATAATTCAAACAAGTGTGTGGTTTTGAAAATAACAGCACTGATCGAAGGATCTAAAACACATTTGAAACAGCTTTGAACTTAATGCTCACACTGTCAGCCAGTGATCGTTTCTTTAAAGTGTTGTTGGATTTTAAATCTCTGTTCTGTATCAAGATTATGCCGGGGTAGCGCTAGATTTTTTGGCACCCTGTGCAGTCTTTGAGGGTCGTATAAATTATGTTACGCTGCATCACATTTATATTTTTACTGCTCCTAAGTTTACTGCTCTGTGCCTCCCTTAAATTTTGCAAATATTGCTGCTCGTTACTTCTGTTAATCCGAGGGTTCCCCCCCTACCCTAAATTCTGCGGCTCGATACGACCGCACCTTTTGGACCTTTCCTGAAAATAACCATTATACAAAATTTCCTTAGCCTGCAAAAATGTGATTGAAAATTAATTCAGGCTCTTTTGGTGCTAATTTGTTAGTGTTTGCCTTTCCTTGTTTGACGTTAAATCAGATATAGTAGGTGGTATA